ACACACACACACACATTGTTATTTACTTTGTACTTTTTGTAAACATTTTTAAGTTTTCATTAAATATATTTGCCCTTTCAAGGGATTGTCAAGCAGTATTGTAACAAATTCTTCAAAGTTGGTGTGAAGTATAATACCAGATATCACATCCTCAATGATGAAAGCCTGCTGGTGGGTCAGCTATAAGTCTTTTCCAACTTAAGGACACATAACACCACCACCTAATTTAGATTAGAAGATATTTTGATAAATGTTTTATTTCTCAGATAAGTAGTTATAGTTCAGAGAACACCTGATTTGAGCTTAGTCAATTTAACTTGTATAACTAAGAGAATTGTGTCTGTTTCATAAGGTTATAAGTATGGTCAGACAAAGCAGTATATTTATAAATGCCTCACAACCCTTAGAGATTCCTAAAGATGAATCGGCAAGAATTACTGTACTTTATAAACTCTAGGGAACACCTGTATTTTTTAACCATTAGAATAAAAAAAAAATACTGTCAGGTAGATTAACTTGCTATTTTAATAGTCGAATTTTATAGGGATTTGCTGTGTTAGGAAATGTACATTTTTAGAATTTCTAAAGAATGGTATATCCTTCCTCAATTATCTGCTGTAGAGTTCTCTGTCTGGAAACCAGTGGACTGACTTTATTCTGGGCTCTAATACTAATCTACAAAGTCTCAAGCAATTCATTTGACAACAAAGTTTGTTTTGCACTTAGTAGGCTTTTTCAAATTTTTCTTAAAATGTCAGTGTATTGGTTTGTTTTTTTTTTTTTTTTTAAAAATCCCACCAATGTTATATATTACTAAAAACTATATTTTTCTTATTCCAGAAAGATGAAAGGGATGTCCAGACATTCACAAATGGCGGAGATCAGAAGTACTGGCAAACATCACAGATGGAAAAATAATAAGGGTGGGCATGGAGCAGCCAGTGGACCAGATGGTCCCTCATGTGAATCAAAACCTGGCGGCCCGCCTGAGGCAAACGCAGATCCCCTTGGTGTTTTGGCAGACAATGATTCTGGTAAGCTAAATAGAAACATACTTCACCTGTGAGTATATGAGAAAAAATGCCAAAGTCTCAGTCTCTTTTGCAAAAGGTTGAGTGACAGATAAGTCGGGTCATTGCTGTGGAGTGGAAACTGACTCCTAGCTGATCTTGTAGCGGTTTTCTGAGGCTGGAAGTAACACAGGAGGAGCAGATGGTGGATTTCAGCCACCTGCCTTTGGTGGCAGTGCAGCTCCACTCAACTACCAAAGCACAAATGACAGCCTAGAAGTCCATTCTTCACAGGTCCATTCCGATTGCTCGAACCTGATTCAGTTCTGACGTAAATCAGATGCCTCAGTTATGTTTTCCTTTTCATTGTGACTGCTTTGTGTTACCAGTATCTTTATAAATTCATCTTTATTTAGATGGTAGAAGTATTATTTCTAAAACAACAGGTCTAACTTAATACATACATACATTAAAGTATACACAGGTCAGAAATGTAATCCAGCAGTGGAGAGTTGAGTGATGTCACTATTTTGTTGGCTACAGTATTAACTCCACTTGTGAAAATTTCTGGGTCTTTTTGCTAACTCAGGAAATGGTGATGTATTTCTAGTGAGAAAAATAGTGGTAGAGTTGTTTGTAAATTTTTTTTCCTTCATATATTTCATACTAACATCTCACTGCTTTTCTGATCTACCTGCTGACAAGCAAAACAGTCATTGTTTGGGTCCGATTTGGTTTCGAAAACTGAATTTGCACAGCAATGTTTTCAGCAGTAAGTTAGCACCTCCAGTGACCATCTGAGAATGGAAACACCAGCAAATTATGAGTGGTCACATTGTATGTGATGCATGTGAGTGTGGGTAGATGTACAGAACAGCCAGCAGGATGTTGTGAGTGCAACTTGTTGTGACTTAGCTCAGCCACATCCTACATAGGGATTACTTGTGTGTAAAAATAGTGTGGCTTGTAGATTTCTGCATAGATTCTTACTTCCTTGTGATATATTTATTCACTAACTGTGGCTGACTGAGAAGAAAGGGAATCCCAGAACACTTGACTGTGCTTATGCGAAATCTATACTTGGAACAGGAGGCAGTCATCAGAACAGAGCAAGGAAACATTGCATGGTTCAAAATTGGGAATGGTGTGCGTCAAGGATGTGTTCTATCTCCATATCTTATCAATCTGTATGCAGAACAGATTGTCCCGGAGGCTGGGCTCTATGAGGAGAAAAAGTGTAGCATCAGGATTGGAGGCAGACTCATCAACAATCTGCATTATGCAGATGACACAACCTCTGCTTGCTGAAACTGAGGAGGACCTGAAGCACTTGCTGCAGAAGGTCAAGGACTGCAGCCTTCAATACGGATTGATATTCAGTATTTTTTGTTGTATTTTTTTTTCCTTTGTTCATATTCTCCTTTTTTAACTGATTTAGAAAGGTTTATTATGTTTTAATTTTTTCATTTTAATGCTTGAATTTCCATTCATTCATTCATTGTTGCACATTTTCTTCCCTGCCCCCCCTCCACTCCAGGAGACTTAGTTTTAAGTCCTGTTGAGCTCGAACTCCAAAAAGTTGATAGAAAACAATGTGTATATTAAGGGATTTGAGGTAGGGGCCGCAAAATTAAAGAAACAAATGATAGCAAGAAGCTAGATGGGAAGTCTTTAACATTGGTGACTGGAGTTGGGCAGGATAGTCAAAGGGTACATTTGCTGTTTTCATTTCATTAAGAGTATCTTAAGATTCTTCACTTTCCTTGCCCAGTACATAGCAGACAAGTGATGAAGATTCAGGTAGACACATTGTCAGTCCCTGCTTTCAAGAAATTTACAGTGTAGTGATGTATAGATTACTGTCTTTTGGGCTGGGACATAGTGGGTACCTACAAGAGAGAGAAGGGAGAAGTTGAGGTTACACTAAGAAAAAGTCCCTAGTACTTTTAGATAGAAAGTAACTGGAGATGTATAGACAGGTGCAAACCCAACTACCCCTTTTTTTAAGTTGTTTTATTTACATGTGATGGGAAAGAACAGTTGTTCGTGTCTAACTTGCCCTTGGGGGCATTAGGCCAGCACCTCGAGCCTCATCTGGGCACACTCAGAGCCCAGCCAGATCTTAGTTCCCAATAAAATAAAAGGCATCAGATAATCTTCGAGAAATGGTTGGTTCTAGGGCTGAAGCAGGGAAAATACAAATAAGAAAATGTTCCGAAAACGGCAGGGTATCAGCATATCAAAAGAATTCACGGGCCACTTTAAAAGTTTTCAGTATCCAAATAAAGAATAATGGTTTATAACCTCAAAGAAAAAGGTAAATATGAGTATGTACGGAAATAAGTAAATGAATAAATCTGCTCCCTTTTTCATATATCTTATGTGCATGTATGTGACTTTTCACAAAAAAGTCTTTGGGGATACAGACAAGATTAAGGTTCCATCCTTAGGAGTTCTTAGCACTTTCATGATCCTGTGCTGGTTCCATACAGTGCATTTTTCAGATTCTTGTTGAACATGTGTGACCTGTTGAATATTGTTCTAGGCTCTGAGGCTATAGCAGTGAGCAAAGCAGAACCTCTCTCCTGTATACTAATACAATGTACTTGATAGAAGTGTCATGCAGAAGCTGAAATTGGATAAAGGGGAAAATGCTGGTCAGAGAATGAGTCTGTTACTTTCTGTAGAGTGGTCACTTAAGGCCTCTGCTGTGGAGATATTTAAGCAAAAGTCTTAATAAACTAAGGGAACTGGCATCCATGGGTGTAGTCATCCAGGCAATGGGGGCAGCAAGCTGGAGATGTTGGTGGATTGTATTAAAAGTATGATTTGGGCTATATTTCCAGAACAGAATTGACAGCATTTGTCAGTGGGTTGGATTTGTGAGAGGAAGAGAAGAGACAAGGATGACTGCTAGGTTTTGACCTACCCATTAGAAAAAGTTGCCATGTACTGATAGAGAATACAGATGAGCTGATTTGGAGTGGAAGTCAAGTGTTTGCCATGTCTGGCATCTGAGGAGATATGTTGTCTCTCACTCTCATTTCCATGGATTCAGAACTGACTCATTGGCTTTCTGGGACTGTAAATCACACAGGGAGAAATTGTACACTTTCTCCCCTCAGAATGGTGCATTCAAACCATCAGGTAACTTCAGCTTTGGCTTCACAGAACAGCTCCCCAAGACTGGGCAGGCAGAGCTGCTCTGTGTCATATAAGCAGTTGGATAGATTATTTCGGAGTTAAGGGGAAAATTGAAGACTGGAGATAAAGACGTTGTGGTACATTATGATGGAAATAGTGTTTTGAGAATGGAGTTCATCTGGAATAGTAGGCACGGTAGGAAGAGGTCTCTGAGAAGTGGCTCCTGGGACATGCCAGCATTTCAGACAGTGATTAATGAGCAGACTCAAAAGGAAGACTCAGAGGGGATCTGGAAGCCAAGTCAAGGGATGATTTTTAAAAGCAGAGCTTGTAAGTGAGGTGAGGGCCAAGAATTGACCTTTAGGGTGGCACTGTGGGGCACTGAGGTGAACTTGGGGTGTTGGAGCCTCACTGATGTGGTGGATCTAAGACTGAAGTAGGTTCTGGACTGAGGTAGTAGCAATAGCTGTGTCAAGTTTTTCCTTTAAAAAAAGGAACAGAAGTGGATTTATGAGTAGAAGATGGTATTTGCATTGACCATGCAGGCATTTTTATAAGGTAGCTTCATTTAATAAGCAGACCTTTTATGAGTAGGATGCAAATCTAAGTTCACTGTTGAAGAACTAGGTGATGGATAAGACCAGGGTTTCTGTTTGGCCCCAAGTGCTTTCTACTTACCTTACCTGAAGGGAAAGTTACTCAGATTTTCTGAATCTTGGTTTCATTCTTGTAACCTATAGTAAAAGTGCTATCTCATGAAGACTAAATGAGATATTTCTAAAGAGTATGATATTCACCTGTTACTGTCCTCCCTGGGTCTGGGAAGTGATACAACAGTTCGGCCTGTACTCATTCCAACCATAGGGTGAGCAATCTGATATTCTGGTAGATTTCTTTTTAATCCACTAGAAATCTGTATTGCCTAGAAGGGTGTCACATTGCTAATCCAGGAGAAATGTATAGTTTAAACTTAACAGGAAACAATTTTTGGTGAGGTGTGGTGCTGAGTGAATGAGTGAGTAGAGGAGAAAGGATTTACCTGCCCGTCAGCAGCAGCTGGTTCAGCTTTCTCAAAAGCATCCACCCATTTCCCACCACTGGGATTTGGTTTCTCCTGAAGTGACCTGGTGCACATTAAATGCTCCCTCATAAAGCAGTACATATTGGCTTCAGTTGAGATGGTCATTAAATAGACAAGTTATTTATTGCCCTTATTCTTCAGTCAGGCGTTGTTTTTATTGGTTGTCTAGAGCAGATTTAATATGTTCTCAGAGCTGCCAGGAATAAATGTAATAGGTGCTGCCCTTGGAGGTAAAGCAGGCTTGAGCGGCTCTGATCAAACACCCTGTCTTTGGCAGGCCTTTTAATACCACTTGCTAAATTCCCCTGCTTGGCTTGTTTACTTAAATTCTTAGAGGTTTTCAGTAATAAAAATACTGGACAGATTCATTTCAGTGTTAACTCTTTGGCTAAGCCTAAATTTCTAAGTTAGTTTGAATATTATTTGTGTCCTGAAAACCAGTTGGAAAAACAACAAACTGGGTAGATATTTTTATATTTTCTTACCAAGCTTACTTTTCAGAGTTAGTGACCCTAATCCAGTAAAGTTAAATAAATTTCTGGGCTTCCTACTACCTGTAAATTAATAGCAACGGTTGTGTAATTAAGTTAATTAAGAGAGGGCCCAAATTCCATAAACCTATGAAGCATGGCAAGTGAGCTATGCATAGCTGCCTTTTGCTCAATTTCTTTGGGTAAATAGCTTCTCTGACCATGAAGATTTAGATCAAGGGGAAATGTTTTATGTCAGCTGCAGTTAGGTTTTGGGGAAGATAAAGGAAATTAATACATTGCTTTCTTTCCCCTAAGTAACAGATTAAGGAGCCAGGGGCTAGGAAACAGCAAATTGTTTTACTGTGGTGGAAGGGAACTGTTTTAAATTTTATTTTATTTTATTAATTTTAATGAACATTTATAGAGATTTTGGATTTCCATTCATTCATTGTTGCACTTTTCTCGGAAGGAAACTTTTGTTACTCTGTTTTCATTTTCCATGGTTTCCATTCTCTTTCAGAGTCGGACATGGAAGACAAACCACACAGCACTGTCATCCCCAAGGAGGTGACCCCCGCCCTGTGCTCCCTGATGAACAGCTATGGGAGTCTTTCCGGGTCAGACAGTGAGCCTGAAGGTGAGTAGTAGCCTCCCGCAGTTCTGTTTTTTTTGTGTTGTTTTTTGGCCTGCTGTGTGTGATTACCATCCAGGATGCATATTCTTTATTTGACATAGAAATAAAGTTAACATGGGGAAAAGGAAAGCTAGAGAAATTTGTTGCTATGCTGTGAGACAAAGCAAAAAGAAAATGTATATTAAAGGTGGAAGATAAACAATAATGGCCTGAAAGAAAAGAAATCCTTTAAATTATAGTGAAGAATGGTAATTTTTTTTCTCTCTGCTCAGGAGAACCTTTGTCTCACATGTTTAGCACCTTTGGTAGCAAAGGTCCTTTGTGACAAAAAGAGAAGTCTGTCCATCTTTGTCCTTTGAGAAAGGTGCTGGTAGACTTGAACTTGACACAGCCTTTTGGTTGCCTCACAACACTCTATGGACTCAGCCATTGGGGTGCCATCATTTATGTAGTTGGGAGAAGTTAAATAAGGATGAATTGGGCTTATGTATGAAAAATTATGTTTAAAATGTTTTAACATGGATTGATTTTTTTTTTTTTTTATTTTTAAATGGGCCCCCTGGCATGTTGAAAGCTACCTGAATTTTGAAATGTAAACTTCTCTGACTTTATCAGAGTATCCCTTTGTTGCTGTTCCTGTTTTAAATGTATTTCTTGTTTTAAGAAAAACACTATTGTGTCTTAATCTTATTTGTTGATGGAAATATGATGGTAGTACTCTTCTTTATACACTAATTAAATTCTTGCACACAAGTTGTATTTAAAATAGGTGGTAGTAAAGAAATATATTTCCTGACTACTCAGTTCCATCAAAGCAGGTTAAACTATTTGTCTCTCTTTTAAGATGAAAACTTAAAAGAATACTTTTTATACTTACATCTTTACCTTTTACTTTTTACACATACATCTTTACATTTTAAGGCTCTTGCCTTTTTTTAAATATGAGGAGAGAAAGGGCCCTGGAGAAGATCGCTGAATTAGTACTCTTTCATTTTACAGACTCACAATAGAGTGAGGATAAATTGGTAAAGGTAGTTTGTTGTTGCTGATAGGCCGTCCGCTCAGAACTGATTCACGGCTGACCTTCCAGTGGATTGGAGGCAGGAGATTACATTAAGGGAAACTGCCCATCTTTATCCCATAGAGCTGCTGGTGGGTTCTAACCACTTGCATTTGAATTGGCAACATAACTCCTTACTCACTAGGCCACCAGAATTTCCTGGTGTGTTGCAGAGCTCTGTAAAATGTAGATGGAAATAAAGGTCTAAAGAATCCGATTATTGCCTTCTGTTAACAGTTTTTCTCCATGTGATGTATCCCTTCTTCCTGCACAGTAGTGCACCATCTTATCTTAAAGATAATAGAATGTTAGCTATAAAAAGACAAGTGATTTTTAAATATTTTTACGTAATTGTTTAAAATTCCTTGCTTTAAGCATGAAGCCCTGATTCATAGGAGCAGTGATTTTGTAAATTATTACCTAACTTGAGCAAATAAAATATCTTGCATGTTCTTTGGGGAAAATACACTTCATAATTTAGGTTATATTTCGAATATATATACTTTTTAAATAAACTAGTATAATAAAAATATTTTTAAAAGAATTCTTTGTGTAGTTAGTTTCCAGCCTTCAGTGTTAATTTTGGACTTACCAGATGAGCTCTTGACCCATTAAAGCTTGGAATAAATCAACCAAGGAAATAAATTGTACCTTCTATGGTCTATGAAATTGCATCTAGTGGCTTTATAGTTAAGTGTATCCTAAATGGAGATGAGTGGTCAGATTCTAACAGATTTTTAACTACTGTGTCTGTCTCAATTGGTGAAATCCTTAATACTGTGGCCCTTGCTCATTTCTTGAGCTTGAAATGAAACTTTTGACTATGACTTAACTTTCAGTCAAACAGTAGATAAGCCTGTTAGAGGAAAAATTACATCAGGTAAGTACTCAGACCTAGGAACAAACTGTAATGCAAGATCCAAAGAACAATGTTTGCCCAATGATAAAGCTCAGAAGGCAGCAAGGGAGATGATAGAGAATGAATGGAGTACCAGTCTGCTTTGTAAACTTCTCCTCAAATCACAATGAAGAAGTAATATCTGTTCATTTGCTTTCCTTTTCTTATTTATAATTTACCACACTTAGAAACTCCCATCAAGAAAGAAGCAGAAGTTCTGACAGAAAGCCAGGTTCTTCCCAGCAGTGCTCAGGAGAGTCCAAATCAGCAAGTTAAAGCGGCTGCTCAAAATTCCCCAGAAGTCAAACCAAACAGCCCCAGGAAAAGCTACAACAAGACAAATCCCAGGCAGAAGAAATATCAGAACTGTCAAGCATTTAAACCAAGAACACATCATCCAAATCTCTTGGAGATGGTGAGTGATTTTTCGTCACATTTTAAACTTTGTTCTCACATATAGATGAAGCCACTAGATATTTTCTTCCCACCTGAGTATATATGTGCTTATGTATGTATTTTAAGGATACTGGAGACACATGTTCCTTGAAAATTCATCAATGTGTCTTTGTTCTGCAGTTACAGTTAGCATATAGCTGATGTTCAATAAATAAGGAATTGTTAAACTTTTGTTCAAACCTTAGAATAAAGGAATCTAGCTTTGATTATAATTGGTAAGGAAATACGGAATTTCATATTCAAGAAAATACACTAAGCTTTTCTTGAAAACACATGAAATAGCAAGCTAAAGGAAGAAAGGGGTTTTTAACACCAAAATCTATTTAAAAATGCTAATTAAGGAAAAGAAAAAGACGAAGGTCTCTTGATTGTCATTTCTTTGGTGGCTCTTCCTTCTCTTTCTATAACTTTTGTATCCTTACTCTATTTTATCAAGGATTGGATCGTTCCAAAAAAAGTAGTCTCTGTCCTAAAATCATAACCAAGAAGTAGTGCAATTTTTAAATATCAGTTAATAATTATGAAACTCTTCAAAGATTTTCTCATTGGATGATGGGAATATTCCAAATGTTTAAATAAAATTATAAGTCTATCTGTTGCCATTCTGTGAATAGTCTTTATTTTTGCTTCATCAGATAAAGTCCTGTGTTCTAGCTAAAGTGGGTATTTATTAGATATCCTTGACTTTAATTAAATTAATATAATTGTTTATATAAATATTGTAGTGAAAATGTATAAATTATATTTTTCATTAATCATAGATATTTTGTTTAAAACATTCATTACTATTGACTAGGCAATTAAACATCATAAGGTTTAATAAATTCCTTATTATATTTTGCCTTTTATTAATTTCTAATATATATTGTACTATTTTTAATGTATCTTTTTAACTTACTGATTTATACATACATTTATATATTCAGGTTTAGAAGCCCTTTTAAGCATGATTTTTCAATGAGTGTTGGCATGTGCTGTTTAAAAGTGAGATAATCTTTAAGTGAAAAGGAAGATGTTCTTGCGTTTGTTGTTTTTTTTTTAACAGAATAATTAGCAAATAAAATATCTTGCATGTTCTTTGGGGAAAATACACTTCATAATTTAGGTTATATTTCGGAGATATGTCTTAGTTACCAGCTGATCTTCTTGTTTTTCAGCTTTTGGCTCCAGATATTAGACACGAAAGAAATGTGATTTTGCAGTGTGTTCGGTACATCATCAAGAAAGACTTTTTTGGACTTAATACGACTTCTATGAAAACTGAAACTGTTTCAGTGTCTGATGTTTCAGTATGTAAAACTGAAGCGTGTGAAGTAGCACCATCTTCAAGTTAATAGAGGAAAATCTTTCTTTAATAAAGAAAAACCTCCTCCTGTACCAGTCAGATCTGATTTGACAGTACACGTAAAAATAATACAATAAAAAATTTTTTTTTTTTTTAAAAAGAAAAACCTGATGGGTTATTAATTGTAAGTCTCCTAACATATTATGTTAGATTTTTAAATAATTTGTCTGAACCTATTCTAATAAACTCAAACCTGATTCTTAAGGCTGTGTCATTTTTGTTGGAATCATACATCATATTTATAGACAGTGTTACATTTTGTTTGTATGTTTTGCTACCTTTTAAGAAAGCTTACTGTTGAGAATTTGCTGTAGAGAATTTGAAGATACTGAATTAATAGGAAAGAGTAAAGCATTTAAAATTCAGCAAAGCAAACTGGAAGGTGCGTAGAGAAATGCTGTTTTTAATACAGGAAAACAATCAATTCTTGATGGAGGAAAATGTAAATTTTTCACTTTTCAAAGGCTATGTTTTAAATCTAGCAACTAGCAACACTTAATTCCTCAGTATTGAGCATTTAAAATGCTACTATGGATATGACCACTGTTTATATTTATTCAGGTGAAGCACTGTTTGTTTTAATTTAGATCTTTATATTTCTTTTGAGAAATATATATAGTTTTAAAAGGGTCAGCTCGTTGTGTTAGAGAGCTGTGGTGACCTAGTGGTAAGGAGCTGAGATGTCAAACCGAGGCCCGTGATTCTAATCCACCAACTATAGGAGAAAGACACTCTCTTGACATATGATTTACTGCCTCAGAAAACCCACTGGAGAGTCAGCTGAATTAATCCATTCTGACTGAGCTACACTTAACATTATTTATAGCAAGAACTGGTCAACAAAATAATAATGGCTCAATTTTAAGGTTTAATAGAAATTTATCTTATGAAAGTATTAATTAAATTCCATTTAAAGACTATGGTGCTCCTAATCCAAGCAATGGTCTTTTCAGTTATAGCCTATACATCTGGAAGTTAGTGAATAAGGATGACAAGAATTGATGCCTTTGAGGTATGATGTTGGAGTACTGAATATCTGTACTGTTATGGGCTGCCAAAAGAACAAACAAATCTTTGTTGGCGAAAAATCAACTAGTCTCACGTACTTTGGACATGTTGTCAGGAGAAGGACTAGTCCTTAGTAAAGGATCAGAGAATAAAAGACCTTCAACAGGATAGATTGACACAGTGACTGTCAGTGGGCATATCAGAGATGGTGTGGATGGCACTGGATAGATTCAGATCTGTGGGTCATAGGGTCACTATGAGTTATAGTCAAGTCAGTGACACCGAACAACAATTTTATTCTTGTTAAATTTTTGGATAAGTGAAAGTTACATCTTTTGCCTCTTATATTAACCAGAATTTTTTATCTTAATATTTTAGTCTAAGTGTGCTTTGCTGTACAAAGGCAAGTTATATTTCAGAAGTCGATGACCAGTCCTTCCTAGCCTATCTCAATTTGGATGTTCACTGTTAGAAGAATATCTGACAGACAAGTATTTTTACCTAGCAGGTCAAAGACACTTTCCTTACCGAAATAACCAATAAATTTACTGCCCACCCTACCCAAGCATGTGTGACTTGTCTCTACCCTTTCCATGCTACCTCCCCATTCCTTGCACACCTGGCTACCTGGTCAAACCCTCCCTTCTCTAAGCCACCTCTCAATATGAACACCAGTCACCTCTGTGATGCCTGACACGACACACTGCTACTGGTCTCTCACACTTGTGCATCTCTCCTTTAGGAGCCTGTAAGTCCAAATCCCCTGTACCAACTTCAGAGAAAGATTTTTGCTTGAGGCTGTCTACATGCAAAGGTGCACCTAATCCAGGCCATGGTATTCTCAATTACTTGTTTTGCTTCAGGGAGTTGGACAATGACTAAGGATTACAGAAGAATAGATGCCTTCAAATTGTGGTGCTGGAGAAGGGTCTTGAACATACCATAGACTGCCAAGAAAATGAATCAGTCTGTCTTGGAGAGGGTGAAACCAAGTCTGTCTTTGGAGGCTAGGATTTTGAAGCTCTGCCTCATTTACTATTGGCATGTGGCCAGGAGAAATCGGTCCTTGGAAAAGAACATCATGCTCAGAAGGGTGGACGGACAGCGCAGGAGAGGGAGACCCCAGATGAGATGGATTGATACAGTAACTGGGGCGATGGGGGTTGGTGTGTCAGAGTTAATGAGATCGGCTCAGGACAGAGAAGGGTGCAGAGCTGCTATACATAGGGTTGCTATACATCAAAGGCGACTCAGTGGCACATAAGAACAATAACATAATATGACAGATTTGGAAGCAGGAGTGGCATCTACTTCCTAAATAACATGCCTCTGGAAACTGAATTTTGATAAATGCATTGTAGAGGGGCTTCAGGCCCCTCATAGGATCTCTATGAGTTGTGCTCAACTTGAAGGCAATCAAAACCAACTAAGTTAATTAGAGGAATAGCTTTACTCTTTTGACATAGAATTAGCCAGGGCTGTTGTTACTGTTGTCAGTGCTGTTGAGTATGAACAACAGATCTGGGCTCTGTCCTATGCTGTGCCTTTCTGATCTTCCTGATACACTTGAGCCCGTTGCCAGAGACACTGTGTCAATTCAACTCATCCTCTCTTTTGCAGACCCTCAACCTTTCCAAGCATGATTTCCCCCCCAAGGAATAGTTTCTAACCCCGTGCCCCAAGTAAGTGAGAAGTAGCTTTGCCATCTTGCTTCTAAGGAGCACGCCGTTGCACTTTCTCCAAGACAATTGTGTTTTGATAGTCTGTAGGATATTCATTACTTTTCTCCAACATTACAACTAAAAGACATCAATTCTTTTGTCATTCATTGTCCAGCTCTCCAATAAACTGAAGGTGATTGGAAAGACCATGGCTTGATTTAGACAGATATCTTTGTTATCAGGACTTTGGAGATGTTCTCAACAGCTGAGTTTCCCAATAAAATACATCTTTTTTTTTTTTTTTTAAGGAACACTTCACTAATTTGCATGTCATCCTTGCGCAGGACCCATGCTAGTCTCTGTATCATTCCAATTTTAGTATGTGTGCTGCTGAAGTGAGCATACCTATTGGCCTTGTGAGGATTTTTTAAATTTTTTACTCTTGAGTATAATCCTTATTGAAGGCTGTAGGTGCATTATTTTCTCAGCAAGCAAGATTGTATTATCTGCATAACACAGTTTGTTGATGAGTCTTCTTTCAATCCTGATGCCACATTCTTCTTCATAAAGTCTAGTCTACCTTCTCGAATTATTTGCTCACCATACAGATTGAATAGACATGTATAAAGGATACAACCCTGGTGCACACTTTCTTGATTTTAAAACATTCAGTGTTCCCTTGCTCTGTGCAGACAACAATTTCTTTGTCTAAGATTTTATATGAGCATTATGTATTCTGAAATTCCCTTTCCTCTTTCCTCTCAATGTTAGCCATAGTTTGTTATGATCCACACAGCCAAATGTCTTTGCAGAGTCTATAAAACAGACATTGTTTTTGTATTCTCTGCAATCAGCCACTGCTCATCCAACATCAACAGTGATGTTCATGGTGCCATGGTCTCTTTTAAACTTAACTTGAACTTCTGGCAGTTCTCTGTCTATGTTCTGGTCCTTTTTGGATGATCCTCAGCAATATTTTGCTTGCATGTGATATTAGTAATATTTTTTGATAATTTTCATATCCTATTGCCTCACCTTTTTAAAAAACTTCTTTATTGGTTTACATACAAAAGTTTACATTGTGCCAAGAAATCTGGAGAACAGCCACTTGGCCAACTGACTGGAAGAGATCTATATTTGTTCCCATTCCAAAGAAGGGTGACCCAGCAGAGTGTGGAAACTATAGAACAATATCATTGGTTTCACATGCAAGCAAGATTCTACTGAAGATTATCCAAAAACGACTGGAACAGCACATCAGCCGGGTTTAGAAGGGGTCATGGTACTAGGGATATTGTAGCTGATGTTAGATGGATCTTAGCTGAAAGCAGGGAATACCAGAGGAATGTTTATCTGTGTTTCATTGATTATGCAAAGGCTTTTGACTGTGTGGATCATAACAAACTGTGGCTGACTCTGAGAAGAATGGGAATCCCAGAACACTTGATTGTTCTAATGTGAAACCTATACTTTTGGACCAAGAGGCAGTCGTCAGAACAGAGCAAGGAAACACTGCATGTTTCAAAATTGGGAAAGGCGTATGCCAGAGTTGTGTCCTATCTCCATACCTTTTCAACCTGTACGCAGAACAGATTATCCAAGAGGCTGGGCTCTATGAGGAGAAGTGTGGCGTCAGGATTGATGGAAGATCTATTAACAATCTGCGATATGCAGATGACACAACCCTGCTTGCTGAAACTGAGGAGGACCTGAAGCGCTTACTTCAGAGGGTCAAGGACTGCAGCCTTCAGTATGGACTGAGGCTCAATGTCAAGAAGACAAAGATTCTGACCATTGGACCAATTGGCAGCATCAGGATGGATGGTGAAGAGATTGAGATTGTTAAAAACGTTAGTCTGCTTGGCTCCACGGTCAACACTCTTGGCACCAGTAGCCAGGAAATGAAAAAACATATTGCAATGGGAAAGTCTGCTGTTAGGGACCTCTCTAGGGTACTGTAGAGCAATGGTGTCACACTAAGCTGTGGTGTCTGATACAGGCTATGGTCTTTGCAATCACTTGTTATGCATCAGAGAGTTGGACACTGACTAAAGAGGATAGAAGGAGAATTGATGCCTTTGAGCTGTGGTGCTGGAGAAGAGTATTGAATGTACCATGGACGGCCAAGAAGACAAACAGATTCATCCTGAGGAGGGTTAAACTGGGCTGCTCCTTGGAGGCAAGGATTCTGCGGCTTTGTCTGATATATTTTGGACATGTTGTAAGGAGGGAGAGGTCCTTGGAGAGGGACATGCTTGGGAGGGCAAAGTGACGGCACAGGAGGAAAAGGCCCTCTATGAGGTGGATTGATTCAGTGACT